ATCTGGTGGAACCGACCTTCAAATCTCTTCACCCAACACTTTCACCCGAAGTGGGAGTACTGGTATCTTATCATGAAAACTGGGCTTAGAGAATATGGAAAGAAGCTGGGTTTTGAATAATCCCTTAACAGATTGATACCGGGGTACCTTTCATTTCGTTTGAGAAGGCGGGAGGAAGGGATTCGTAGATTGCGCCAAGAAGACCTCGGCTCACCGTCCTACAACCGCGATGGCTCCGTGCTGAGCTTTCGTCCGTCATGTCACGGACATGTTCAGAGCGAGAAACCATTATTCACGAAAAATCACGAATAAACACTCAACCGAGGAAGGCGGCCAGCTGAGATGCTACTCACTTCGTATGCCTCACTTTGCGAGTTCAATGAGGCGTTGCATGATTTTGTTGGCTGACGCTTGCTTGTCCTACATGCATGCAGACAAGGGGCCGGATGTGGTTACAACTTTGGTGTATGTAAATAAAGTAGAGTATGATCCGATAGTCCTGGATCATACTTTAATTTAGTTGCATATACAAAAGTTGCGACCACATCAGCTCCACTTTCTGTATCACTTTGACCAGGTTGTATGCTTGTAGGAGAAGCATACGTCAGCCAACTAAATCATGCAATGCCTCATTAAGATAGCAAAGTGACGTATAAGAAATAAGTGGGATCTCAGCTGGCCACTTTTCTCGGTATAGTGTTTTTGCTGCTTTTTTCATGAAGTATGGTTTCCGGTTCTGAGGATGTCCGTCACAGGACGGACGAAAGCTCAGCACGGAGTCATCGAGGTTGTAAGACGATGAGCCGAGGTCTTTTGGGCACAATTCAACAGACAACAGTCCAAGGCAACCCTCCTGCGGTATCCGGTGGGGCCAATCTACAAATCCATTCGACCCGCTCTCTCAAACGAACTAAAAGCTACGCCACTATGGGCTTCGAGAAGCCTTTGAAGTGTTCATTCATTTGTTCCCTTTATTTAATCTGAGTTGATGGGGAAAAATGGGTCTGTGGGACGTCTTTGGTGGGGCGAATTTCATCGACTCGACGTAGCGTCGTTTTGACACCTCGCTCTAAATGATGTCCCCATGACGAGCGAAGGCTTGGCTCCACATAATCCGGTATCTGTCTTATGATCAATGGCGCCAGGCTAGGCCGTCTTGCGGTAAGCTACCAACTGATTAAAAGCCTGGCGCTCATTCGACAGGCTTGTTCTCTGGCTTCATTTGTCTCTGGCCTGTGGTGACCTCTCAATCACATCGCAATGTGTTTTTTTCACACTAGGGCCTATTTATCTCCACCCTATTTTTACCCATCAATACGCCTCAAATCGGAACATGTGTCCAAACATTTTTTACAATTGGCTTTATTTTATGGCTGAATATAATAGTCTGACTTTGATTTGTTTATATTTTGCACCGTTTACCTTGCATGCAAATTAAATAGATCCGAATTGGTGTTGCGGCCATAAAATCCTAAATATAATGTTTAAATAAAGATATGAAGACCAAAATGTTGTGGCCTCTGGCATGGTCGCAGTCTCCTTTCGATTTAAAGGACTGGGTTGACCTCGTTGTCGCAGCTTGGTCTTGTTCTCAGGGCGACTTAGTAGAACACACCTAGTCCGAAGTCGTCTGTCATAGTAGTTGTCATGACTCCCAGCATCAGACAGTGGACTTGCTACATTCTCTAACGTTTCGCCAGCATCATCAGTGAGTTTTGCCATTCTCCGCACCAAGCTGCGAACTCGTCAATGAGACAAGCGAAGTCAATCCCTCGTCAAACATTATCACTCCTCTTTCTCTCCTGGCATATCTATCCACTCAACGGGAAGATCTATGAGCAAATATTTGTACTTCCCATGGGATCGCTGCTCTCACCACTTTTGGCAAACGTATGCATGAACAAAATACAAGAGAAGTTCTAGATGGCACCACTACAACCGGCAGTGCTCATACGATACCTGGATGATTATTTCGCACTCGGATCACTTCGGAAGATAAAAACTGGAAGAGTTTCTGAAGTCGGTATGCCAGATTGATGCAAAAATTCAATTCACGTTGGAAGTAGAGGAAGATGAGCGATTACCGTTTCTGGACGTTGAAGTGATTTGCTCTAATGGCACGCTCAAATAGAAATTGTTCAGAAAGAAGTCCTCTGCTGGGATAATACTCGATTTCCGGTCCCATCACAATTGCAGGCTGAAGATTGGAATAAGGAGGAGCATGATCATCTGAAGCCTACGCCTCTATCGGATGTAGAATTGTGGGACTAGGAGATGGACAAATTGACGGGGATATTCCTCGGAAATGGCTACCAAACGGAGTGATACAAAGAAACATACGGGCCGTAAAAATCCGATGGCAGAACGGGGGCTATGAAAGAACAGTAAGGACGATGAAGGATTCACACAAGTGAATATGCTTACCTTCCTGCGAACTAACTCAAAAACTACGGCCAATATTGAGTAAATGGAATATTCAGGTG